TGTGAGGGCAATGTATCAGTGTTATTTTATGAAAGTAATTTAACATCCCTGGGACCAATTTTCCTCATCCATAAATGAAAGAATTTGATTAGATGTCATCTAAGCAGACTTACTGTGCAAAATTTTTTAACATGTCTTTATATGCTGTGTATGAGCCACTAGCAGCTTCTTTCTTCAACTCATGGTAAGAAATACTGCATATTTAATTGAGTTGTAGAAAAAAGTCTTTTTCCAAATATGCTTAGTCATTAGCATATAGTATTTATGTTAAACTCAAGGTCCATATGTTTTTGAGTCGTCCAGAGAGTCTTCCTCTCTCCTTTGTTTTCTAGAAAGCATAGACTGCCCTTCAGTAAATCAATTTTCTTAATTTGACTTGCTATATTTGACAACATTTTTTGGGTTCACATATTTTTTCTTGTGCCAAGTACTGCATTTTTCATTTCCCACAGAATCAGGACAAACTGTACATCCCTGCTGTGTCCAGGGCAGATCTGGCTAAATGTCAACTATGTTAATTGGTATAGAGAAAACAGCAGCCCTATTTTTATCTGATTAAAAATCCCCACAAACATTCTCCTCTAAAATAAAGCTATGTCAGTACAAAGTGATTTAATTATAATATAAAGTTTGGCAGATGTGTCCCTCCTGCCTTCATTTTACTGTAGCATGCAGAAATGCAACTGGTTCTTGGAATCTTTCAGTATCTAAGATTTTAATCCTACTTTTGGAGGTTTAGAATTTGGTACTCAAAACTTTCTCTGGACTGCCAACTGGAATAAAATATCTTTGCTTTAAAGTGAGATTTTTAAACAGAAGATATAGAACACTCTATAAAACCTTATCTAAAAGGTAGTTTGAAATATTTTATTCTACTTTTGAAAAGTCTCCATGTTAACTATTGCCCCAGGATGAGCAGATTATGTAATATAATTGCTTTAGTTAATTGGGGTGTGGGAGGTGTGGGTGTAAAAGAATAAAAGGTAATGAACTTTGATAAATTTATATGAGCAATAACAAAGTATCTGTGAAAACTTAATTTTATCAGAGAGTGATTATATCTTCAGTGCTCTTTCAAAATTGTATGCTGCCTCTTTAATGTTAGAATTCCCCAGGATTCTGTCTCAGTCTTGGGAGCTTACTCCCAGGTTAACTTCATAAACTCCATGATTTGTCAACTACTTAAACACTCATATTATTTGGATCTGTACCTCTAGCTTATTGAAAGCCATATTAATATCCTTTGGTATACTGGATAGCTCCATTTGGGTGTCTCCTGAGCACCCCAAAGCAGTAAGTCCAGTCTTCTGGTTTCTTGTCCCATAGCACCACTCCAATGTAACAAGTAGAAACCTGGGCAAACTGAAAAATCAACTCCTTTTAGATCTGTCTGAAAAGTGAGGTTACAGGACAAATCATTGCTCACCCCCACAAACTGGTGAGACAGACAGGTGAACACAGAGAATCACAACTTACAAGGGCACAACCCACAAGCAGAAACCACCACAGGAACCAGTCCCAGGATGTGGAAACCTAAACTGTAATTGACAAATTGCTGGAGGCTCAATGTGGACAAGGTATGGGGAGGTTCCCACACTTTTGTTAGTTCTATCTATGGGAGCACTACCATGACATCTTAGTGAATACCAGAGAAAATTCCCTTGGTGTTTCTAGCAAGAGGAGGGGAAAGGAACCCTTTCAATATATGCCAGAGCATTCTGTTCTTCTTAACAAGGACTACCCTCAGGAGAAACTACTTTACCAGAGTCTAATCTGCTGCAATTTTATCAGAAGCTAAACTACCTGGGAGAAAAAAAAAGACAACTCAGCCCCCTCTGTCTACCCTGTCCCACCTAAGCAAGAAAAACAACAACAACCCCCCCCGCAAAAAAAAACAAAACTAAGAAGCAACCTACTGACTGGAAAAAGATATTTGCAAATGATATATCTGATAAGGGATTAAAATCTAATATATAAAGAATTTATGCAATTTAACACCAAAAAAAACAATAATCTGATTAAAAAATGGGCAGAGGACCTGAAAAGTCATTTTTCCAAAGAAGACATACATACAGATGGCTAGACACATGAAAAGATGCTCGACATTACTAATCATCAGGGAAATAGAAATCAAAACCACAAGATATCATTTGCACTGAATGGCTAGTCAGAATGGCTAGTATAAAAAAGATAAGAATAACAAGTGTTAGTAAGGATGTAGAGAAAAGGGAACCCTTGTGCACTGTTGGTGGGAATGCAAACTGGTGCAGCCACTGTGGGAGACAGAATGGAGGTTCCTCAAAAAATTAAAAATAGAAATACCACACAATCCAATAATTTCAATACTGGGTAAAAAGTGAATATACTAATTCAAAAAAATATATGCACTCCTAAGTTTACTGCAGCATCATTTATAATAGCCAAGATATTGAAACAACCAAAGTGTCCATCGACAGATGAATAAAGAAGACATGGTATATATACAGAATAAAATATTAGTCAGCCATAAAAAAGAATAAAATCATGCCATTTGTGATGACATGGCTGGACCTAGAGGGCATTATGCTAAGTGGAATAAGTCAGACGGAGAAAGACAAATACCATATGATTTCACTTACATGTGGAATCTAAAAAACAAAACAAATGAACACACAAACAAAAGAAGAAAGACCCTCTCTAAATACAGAGAACAAACTGGTGGCTGCCAGAGGGCAGGAGGTGGGGGGATGGGCAAGATGGGTGAAGAGGAATGGGAGGTACAGGATTTCCAGTTATGGGATGTATAAGTCACAGGGATGAAAGGTACAGCATAGGGAATATAGTCAAAGGTAATGTAATAGCATGGTATGGTGACAGATGGTAGGATGGTAGCTACCCTTGTGGCGGGCATAGCATAAAAATAGAGTTGTAGAAGCACTATGTTGTACATATAGTACATAGTAACTAATGTAACATTATGTGCTAACTACACTTCAATAAAATACAACAACAACAACTGAGAAGCACTGGTAAATTTCACAATCCATGGGCACAAGCTCACCCAAAGACAGACTGAAACATAGCACTACTGAAAACCTATTAATCATAAAAATCTGGATTTGTTGAAGTTGCTGATAAGGGGAAGCATCCCAGTAACACAGTCTCAGTAATGTCTCAAAATGGGGTAGTTAGGGAAAGATACTTATAGGATTTGGGAGGGGACTGGTATTAATCATAGGGTGCCTTTATATTGGATGTTATTAGCATGGGCAGGGATTTCATAAGAATTTGTAAACTAAGTGAATTACTAGAACATATGAGTCTGCGCAGAGTTACAGTTAAATAGTTTGTGGTCCTGTAACATATGAGTCTAAAGCTCCTGCTAAAACAATAAGAGTTTGAATTGTTTGTGTTGCGTATCAATAGTACAGTTGATCATTTTACTTTTTGCTTCATTTCTCAGTAGCCCCCCCTCCCCGTCTTTTGGTCATTCTTTAGCCTATGCTGGAAGAAAGAATATTATTTTTCTGGGAACATAATCAATTCAGATCTGCATGGCTATTTAAGTCGCAGTTATGTATTGACATTTTCATGGTAGTCTTATTAACCTCTATAAGTATCAGGCCTTCTTGTTCTTTTTTGTTGGATAATCATTTGTAAATCATCTAGTGTAGCAGTGGCTGTGCAGCAGCATTTAAGACTCAAAAGATCATATACCTGGTAAATGCAATGCAGACAGACACCAAGACAAAAATGATGGGAGTTTACAAGGCATTTCAAAACTACATTCCTAGGGGCGCCTGGGTGGCTCAGTGGTTGAGCGTCTGCTTTCGGCTCAGGTCATGATCCCAGGGTCCTGGGGTCGAGCCCCACGTCGGGCTCCCTGCTTGGAGGGAAGTCTGCTTCTCCCTCTCCCACTCCCCCTGCTTGTGTTCCCTCTCTCACTGTGTCTCTCTCTGTCGAATAAATAAAATCTTTAAAAAAAAAAAAAACAAAAAAACCCTACATTCCTAGATTTTAAAAACTGGACAACGGATACAGAATTGTATCACTATATCGTTACATCTGAAACTAATATAACACTGTACATTAACTATACTGGAAATAAAAATAGCTGGACATGTAACATAATCGTCCTTATATAATCAAGTTTTTTTTTTCCTTTAATTTGGGTAGGGTTTGCTCAACCTTACCAGTGAATGAAGAATTAGTCCTATGTCCAGTAATTTTCAAGGATACAGGTCTTGGGAATATTATGTATTTAGTAAAGGAAAACTGTGTCCATCAATAATCTAGGACCTTGATCCAGAAGAGGGGAAAGAAAATAGCCAAGAGGATAAAGATGAAAGCCAAGGGGATATGCATATGTAGAAGAACATGGCAATCAGTGGATTCTTGTTCCAATGGTGTTGGTGGGAAACAGCCTACTTCATGCAGTCATCAGCTTGCTCCAAAGATCTAGGGCTAGCTGTCCATTCTCATGGTACATCTACCTCTAGATATTTTCCAGAGTCTTCAACATGCCCCTCATGATCTGGCCACATCTCTGAGCTCATCTCCTAGTTCTCTTTTCCTTCTTCACTCTTTCTCTGGCTACATTGGCCTTGCTGTTCTGCAAACAAGTTAATCTTGTTCCTGCCTGAGAGCCATTGTACTTATTGTTCCTTTTCTGCCAAATGATATTCTCCCCAATATTTGCCTTGCTGACTCCCACAATCCACTCAAGTCACATGTCATCTCCTTAGAAAAACTTTCCCTTGTCATCCAATTTAAAGTCCTCTGTCATTCTTGATTCTTTTACCCTGCTTAAATTTTTTTCATAGCACTCTTCACTCCCTGTATTTGTTTCATATTTATCTGTTTATTATATGCCCTCTTGAATGTACGTACTATTCCAGAAGACAGAAGACTTTTCTGTTTTGTTCACTGATGTGTTTTCAGGACCTAGTACACTATCTGGCATAAAAAGTGCTCGATAATTACTTGCTGATCGAATGAATAAATAAAAACCTCACACGTACCATAAAACTAGTTGCAGTCGTATTGTATTTGCAGTCGGGGTGTCTGGGTGGCTCAGTCGGTTAAGCGTCCAGTCCAACTCTTGTTCTCAGCGCAAGTCTTGATCTCTGGGTTGTGAGTTCAAGCCCTGCCTTGGGCTCCCTGCTGGGCGTGGAGCCTACTTAAAAACAACAACAGCAACAAACTATTTGCAGTCCTCAAATGACTCCTTTTTTTTGCATATGCGATTTTCCTCTGCCTAGAATAACTTCTCACACAATTCCTCACAACTGATTCCCTCACAATTCCTAATCATCCTTTAAGACTCCGTTTATGTGTCACTGCCCCTGAGAAACCTTCATTGATCCCTCCAGGAAGAACTAGATGTCCTTTTTTCCCGTTCTTATAGTACTCTATGTATATCTCTATCACAATGCTTAATACATTCTGTTAATATTTTGTCTAAGTGACCTCTGTATCCTCGGAATCTAGCAGAGTGCTTTGCTCATAGTGAATTCTGAATAAATGTTGAATGATTTTATTTATAGAGTGACAACATTTATTGTATGTCAAACATTGTATTAGTTTTTTATGTACATTATTTTAATCCTGATAAGAAATCTTTAAAATAGGTACTATTATCCCTGTTTTATATATGAGGAAACTGAATAATTTGTCCAGAGTTTTGAACCTAAGTGTGTCTAACTCCAAATCCAGTTCTTCCCCCATTGCCTTAAATGAATTACTAAATCTCCTTCATGTTATTGATATATCAACCAATTATATTTCTCCTCTGTTGCCATTTAAAATATTGCAAGCTCTGAGAATAGAGACCATGTTTGTCTTACACACTATTGTATCTTTGCATCTAGCAATACCTAGCATAGAGTATGCAGGCAAGAAGAATTTGTTGTATAAATGTCATCTGTATTGGTAGTTGCTTCAAGTCTTGCTGAAAGGGTCTAGGTAAAGTAATGGAAAGACAAGTTTTTAAATCTTGCTTATGCCACTGTAGTATCTGTGGGATTCTGGGCTTCTAAGACTTAACTTTTTTTTTTTTTTAAACAATAGAGAAAAATTATATAAGTACTTAACTCCTAAAACTTGTTTTTTCCCTTATATTAAATGGTACAATACTTTTTATAGTAATGAGAATTAAATGAAAAATTTATAAGTGTTCCAAAAACATGAAAGGCACTAAAAAATGGTTTTTTTCCCCTTGGACACCAACCTCTCTACAGCATATTTTGTAATTTGAGAGCCTCAGAAATATCAAGTGCTATTCAAAATTTTCCTTCTGTTTTTGTTTCTATTCATTTGTAACTAAAGCACATAGGCTTTTAAGTTGGTGATCACAGTAAAGAGCTTATTCGTTCCCAAAGGACTAATGAGTTCATTGTTATAACAGTATCCAGCACCTAGAACAGTGCTTGACACAGCGGGTATTCAATACATATATTTTTGTGAATGAATTAATAAAACACTGAAATAAGGATAATCCTCCAAATGGATAATTACGGAATGTACATGCTGTAAGTATGAAAAAGTGGGCAGGTTTTATCCAATGAGAGGTTTGGAGTAGTGTTTCCAAATGGGTGACTTTTAAGTGTTTTCATTCATTCATTCATTCATTCATTCAAGTAGCATTATACTGTGTGTCTACTATGGATCAGCCACAATATTAACAAGAAGATATCTCTGTGCCTCATGCTAGCACAATAAAATAATTACAAAAATAATTAGTAGGAGGATGTATAAGATACTACATGAGTAACAGAAATAAACCACTGACTACTTACGAGGGTGTGAAACAGCATGGCATACCCAGTAGTGTGACACTGGCAGGAGTGCATGTAGAGGACTGGAGAGAGATAAAACTCAACAAACTATACTTAGGTAGGGGCTAGATCATGAAAGGCTTTATATGCCAAGCTAAGAGTCCTAAATTTTATCCTCTACAGTAGTGCATGGGGTGCTACTGAAGGGTTTTAATGCAAAGAAAAGATAAACACATTTTAGGTTCAGAAAGATCTGGATTGGAGAGTTGAGGTACGGGAGACAGAGAAATCAGCTAAGAAGTTATTAGAACAGTCTACATGGGGAAGAGATCATAAATCATAAAGGCTAGAACTAAGGCAACAGATGTGGTGTTAGAAAGAAAATGGGTTTGAGGGATATAACTACATTAGGCGAGGTAAGAGAAATAAGAGAGAAGGAGGGCTAAGAATGAGTTACGGTTTTCTGACTTGGACTTCTGGGCAGGTGGTTAAGGCCATTCCTGGAATAAGGTACAAAGAAGAAGATCCACATGGATTAGGGATACGGAATGGGCCAGGACAAGAGAATTCATTTTTGGCCATAGTGAGCTTGAAGCATCTGTGGGACAAGTAAAGATATTTCTTGAACAGACCAAGGAAAGTAGAACACACAGAAAACTTAAGTATATAGGACAGGGCAGGCCGGTCAGTAATTCCTAACCTTAGAATACGTCCCCATCATCTTCTAAATTTCTTTCAGTTCACCAATGTACATAAACCTCTATAATCACTGATTACTTATTTAGAAACTTGTAAAATGCATCCTTGAAAAAAGTACAGTGATATTATCCTATAATGTCATTCATAGTAGTGCAGAAAATACAAGTTTCCTGCTGTGTACTTAGGAATAACTTATACATTTTTCCTAAGGTTGAAATATTTAGCTATTGGCAGCTAAATGCCATGCTCATGTCGACTTACTTCAGCAGGAGGATTATTAGTGCAGACATTCAGGCCAGTTGGTAATTCACACAGTGGAACCCATAGAAGGGTAGCAAGGATGGCATACATGTCTTGATGATTGGGTAACTGTACTGCACAATGGACATGGGGCAGCAAACTGGGCACCAAACTGCAGATGGACTGCAGATGCACTGAAGGAAGTCATTAACGTTTTGTGAAATTTGGGACTGGCTTGACAAAGATGAAGCCTGCTGGTTTAAGACTGTATGTTCTTGGCAAACCATGGTGCTGCAGAATTTCACCAGCCATAGTGAAACAAGGTGGGGAAGGGAATGGGAGACCACAAAATCTGTGATATGGTATATAAAATGTTAACTATTAGCATTGCATCTTCTGAGAGTCACCAGATTGAAGCACGAATTTTGGATTTGGCTGGCAGATGGTGTACACAGACTTTTGGAGTATGTTAGCATTTCATTTGAAACTAGCAAGATTACGTAGGACTATCACGGTGATTTAACATTCACAGAGTTTTTTTTTTTTTTTTAAGATTTTTAATTAATTTATTTGACAGAGAGAGAGATAGCAAGAGCAGGAACACAAGCAGGGGGAGTGGGAGAGGGAGAAGCAGGCTTCCCACCGAGCAGGGAGCCCCATGTGGGGCTCCATCCCAGGACCCTGGGATCATGACCTAAGCTGAAGGCAGACGCTTAACGACGAAGCCACCCAGACGCCCCAACATTCACAGAGATTTTAAAATTTATCCCTAAACCTGAGTTAAATGTGAGGCCCTAATTACATTTACAAAGGCTCTGTTAAAGATATGGATCTCATTGAACAGATTCACAGGATATAGTAATTCCTCTAAAATGTCTACAAGTCAGTGTCAGTGTCTCCTTTCCCTGAAAATCTGGTTAGCCAAGAGAAAAAGGGCCAAAGGGAAGAAAAACTAAACCCGGGAAGATGGCAGGTAGTGATGTCTCAATTCTTTGAATGGGACTTCTCCATTTACCAGCCTTCACTTCCTTCTATGGTCTGGACCTTTAATCACCTCGGCAGTCAGCCTTGTAGGGTCAAGCTAATCTCTGTTAACATCATCCTACTACTTCCCTTTTCAAATTCCAGTGAAGTTATGTGTTTCCTGTCCTATTTGACACCCTAGGGAAAGAATAGGGGCCGGTTAATACCTAAATTTAGTCCAGCAGCAACGTGTCTGAGTTTTCAGAGGAGAGATCAACGAAAACAGGTGACATTTCCAAGCCTTTCAAGAAAATGGGGAAAAAAAAAAACAGAACCCAACCCTTCTGGGGTAAGTAAGCAGGGATAGCTTCAACAGTTCCGCAGTAGGGAGAGGCCTGCTGGCCAGGCTCAGAAAATGGGCCGACTTAAGCGTTTTCCTTTTCCTTAAAGCCAGGAGGACGGCTTGGCGGGGTGGCCCTCAACACAATCTTGACTCAGCCACTAAAGTCCGGGAAGCCGGAGCCCTGACAGCCCCTTCCTCACGCCAAGCTGTAAAGGAGGCCGCACCTCCTCTTTGTCAAGCCGTTGCCACAGGCACGAGGAGACCCTTCGGCTGGGAAAGGGGAGAGACAGACGCCACTCCCTAGCCCGCCCCCGGCGCGCCGGACTCGCCGCCCTTCCCCCGCCCCACCTCCCCTCTGTGACCCCCGCGTCCCGCCTCGGGCGACCTGTTGGCAGGGAGCGTCACATGACGCGGCCGGCCGCGCACTGCCCCGGGGCGGCCCTCCTGTTGCGCCCGCCGGGCGGGCTCCATCACGTAACGCGCGGGCGACGCCCCGCTCTTCCCTCGCAGAGCGAGGGAGGGCGGGCGTCGAAGAGGAAAGGGAAGGGAAAAGGGGCGGGAGAAGGAGACGGAGGGGCGGTGCCTGAGTCACGTGACCCGAGACAGCCCGGAAAGCTCCGAGGAGGAGCCTGGCGCCGCCATTTTCCTGCAGCTGCCTGTCCCTCTTGCCCTGCCCGGCTCCAGCTGACCAGGGAAGGGGTGGGCTGAGCTGAGGCGGGGGCAGGGGAGTGCCCGATACCGTGCCTGACCCCGCGGGTGACACGAGCCTGTTCTTTCCGGGCTGGGTGGCAGCGCGCGGCCCTGAGCCCCGCCCCAGGCCGGCAGGCGGACAAGGAGCCGGTGGGGGTAGGGGGTGCGGTGGGGGGGGTGGGGGTCCTCCGGCGCTTGGGGGTCCCAGTCCCCGCTGGCTGCCGAGCGGGAGGGGTGGCGGAGGAGCCGCAGAGATGTCCGGACAGAGCTTGACGGACCGAATCACCGCCGCCCAGCACAGTGTCACCGGCTCCGCCGTATCCAAGACAGTATGCAAGGCCACGACCCACGAGATCATGGGGCCCAAGAAAAAGCACCTGGACTGTGAGTGAAGCCGACCGCGGCCCATCCCCGCGACCCGCGTTCTTCTCCCCTTCTCTTTTCTTACCCCTTCAGCTGCCTCTTCCTTCCCTGCGTCTTGTCTGGCACGGCGGGTCCTGTGCTGCTCCGAGGTGTGTTCTTTTTGCTTCCATCATACCTGCCTTCATGGCTTCCGTTCCCTGTCTAAAAATCCCTCTTAAGCCACTCCCCCCTCCCCCCCGGGTACGTAGGGGACCCTCGCTTTCCTGCCCGGTGCGCCACGAAACCCCATCACACCGGACCAACTTGCCTCTCCACCTAGCTTCTCACCTCCCAGCCGCCTCTTTCTCTTGCAGCCTTCTGCTCTTTCATCCCACCCGTCCCGTGCTGCCTAGTCGCCCCATCCTGAGCGTTTCTCCGCTTGCTCCCGGTCTCACCGCCCCATTGTTTCCCCATTAGCCTTCGGGTTCCGTAAACGCCCGGTTCCGTGGACCTAGATCCCTGTTGCTCCGCAGTCCTGAAGGCTGCCTCCCTTGAAGTGATTTCCAGTTCCTTTGCTCCACTAGCCTCTTCTGTCCATTCCCTTTTCGGGTTTCTCTTCCAGCTCCCCTCTTCCGTTTGGGTTATATTTCTTGGCCTCTGTAGCTTCAGTTAGGTTTCTTCGTCTCATTTTATGTCATACACATCACACTCAATATCCGACTCTTATCCCAGATTACTTTCTTTGTGGGAGTGTAGTAAAGGTATTCCGTTTGGTGTAGGGAACGCTTTGTGGGAAGTTGGGATTTTTAATTGCTTTTGGTGGAATTTAATCATTATGTTTTCATGCTTTTTAGAGAAGTTGTGAATGTCAGCCCTCCCCCCCCCTCCGGTGTTTCTTTTTCTAATGGGGATCTGGAAAAGGATTGGCTGAGAGTGGTATCATTTCCTGGAACTGTTAACCCTGGTAGTTTGAATTTAGAAGGTTGAGTATGAAGTGTAGATTATTGGAATAAAAAATGGATTAATATCACACCTACAAATAACATACATCTCTTTAAAAATGCTAAAAAGGTGATTGATGATACTTTAGTTTGGACTCCTTTTTAATTTATGCTGGTTATCTCGGGGGACCAGCTTCTCTTACCCGGCATTATATTACTCCATTCACTAACTTACATACAATTACCATAGCTAACTCCTCCCAACTTTTTCCAAACCTGGAAGCCACTTGTAATATCCTCATTTTTCTTTACCTGGAGGTACAAAGCTCAGTGGATTACTCAAGCTTTGACTCAGTGGAGTGACCTAAAACTTTTCAGGAAAAAAAAACAACAACAGGGAAATAGGCACAATAATTTCCTTTTTAAAATGGTAACTGGACACATTAGCCTGACTGACTTTTATTCTCATGAAAGTTACTTTGCTTTACTGTTTGAAGCAAGAGTGAGCATGTCCTGAAAGGGAATTCACTGACAGGAGTCCTGTTTTGATTTCTCATTTGGACTTCGGCTGTAAGGTCTGCACTTAAAAAAAAAAAAAAAAGTACAAAATGTGAATTCTTCCAGGATACTTTGCTCATGAAGTGCTGTTAGAACAAGTTATTGCTACAGACAAACGTATTATTCATTGTGACTTGTTCCTTCACTGTGGAAAAGTTAAAAAAAAATCATTACTGCTTGGTTCTCTTATGCACTGGTCATGCAGGCTGCTTTTAACTATCAGTCCTTGTCTGTTTAGAAAATGCAGAATATATTTAAATGGTGACACTTTTATACCTGGAAAATTCTTTAAATTGAATTGTGAAGCCATACGTGATTTTTTTATTATCTAATATTTGGAGTAGACAGTTTTACTGTTTACTGCCCTTCAAGTGAGTACTTGGCTTGCTGTAGCCAATCTTATGGTTTGACCTAACACTGTTAATTCTTGTCTTTTATTTTTCTTTTGGGTGAGGGGGTAGGTGAAAAAACTACTTGTTACTGTAAGAACTATTTTCCTCTTCCTCAAATTCATCAAAATGATAAATTAGAACAAAAATATGTATAGCTTTTTAAAGTCTTTATAAAGGTTTTTGCATTATTTCAAATGTAGCAGTAGTTCTTTTAACACATTGCCAAGAAGGGTAGAAAATAGGCTAGATATGGCTAGGAGGGTGGTCTTTGCTTGTGGTTTTAGTGCTAGCCTTTTTCTCTTGTAGTAACAGCTACTGCAGAAGCCAAATGGGATTAGGTTTGGAGGGTAAACTCATCTCTACCACTGCTGCTGTGTTTATGCTCCCACTTCAGAACTTGAATATTCCTGGTAATGTGTGATTTTTTTTTAAGTTGCCACTACTCCAGTTCTTTTCAGTGAGGTTTTAAAATACTCTTTTCCTTATATTGTTTTAAATGCCCTTGTAACAAGTTTTCAGTAATGACCTAAATTAAATAAAGTCTGGCCAATCAGTGGTTTTTCTAAACACCTTCCTCCCCCACACACTTTAACATGCTTCCAGAAAATTAAAAAGGCTTCCACAGACAGTTCTGTGTCTTGACATCGTGAACTTCAGGCTTTAGTGTAGAGATGATTTTTCCTCTTTTAGGAATTTTTCTTTCTAGTGAGGGCTTGGTTCTGTTGCACCTTTTAATATCTTGAATGACTGTTGCCTAGTTAGTTGAACTTAGTGAAAGCAATTTCATTTTTTAAATGTTAGTCTATAACAAAAATATGTCTAGGACTGTTTTTTTTCCTATGGCACTGTGGAGGTTGTTTTTGTGTACTTCACCAAGGTGTTTCCATATTAGGAAGTGATTATTATAATCTACAAATTGTGGCTTAATTCATACTACATTATATACTTTAAGAAAGATCTTTTGTTTTACTTCTGGGTGTCTGTAGATAATAGTGTTAACTAGGGTCCCTAGTGTGAAGAGTTGTCCAACTTGAAACGTGAAAATAAACACGATTTGCACTTAGTTTCAGGCCTCTAATGGTCATAATCAAGGTAGAATAGCAACCCTTAAATTGGAAGGACTTGAATTTGCCAGGCACTTATTAACCATTATCTAATATACTCCTCTCATGGCTATGGGAGAGGCAAGCCATATGCTTAGGAAGTAGTTTCTAATTCCATTTAAAGAGGATATAGAATGCTTCAAACATCCATAATTATTAAAGTATAAACAAAACACAATTTTTATTTTTTATTTATTTTTTAAGAGAGAGGTGGAGGAGGGGCAGAGGGCGAGGAAGAGAGAATCTTAAGCAAGCTCCACAGCCAGCACAGAGCCCAACAAGGGGCTTGATCCCACGACCCTGATACCGTGACCTGAGCAGAAATCAGGAGTCTGGGTGCTTAACTGACTGAGTCACCAGGTGCCCCAAAACACAGTTTTTTAAATTTATAAATTCTTAATTTAAAAACCATTCTTATCTGACTTCCTAACCTTTCGTCTTATTTTGTTTTGTTTTTTAAAGATTTTATTTATTTGAGAGAGAGAATGAGAGACAGAGAGCATGAGAGGGAGGAGGGTCAGAGGGAGAAGCAGACTCCCCGCCTAGCAGGGAGCCCGATGCGGGACTTGATCCTGGGACTCCAGGATCATGACCTGAGCCGAAGGCAGTCGCCTAACCAACTGAGCCACCCAGGCGCCCCTTATTTTGTTTTTTGATATGAATATTTAATTTTCTTTTTTCTACGTTTGTTTAATTTACTGTCCTTGGGCATTTACATTGTAGCATGTTGCACTGAAATACAGTATTTATGTTAATGGTAATAATGGCTTCACTTTTTTATCTGTATTTTTTCTCACTTAATTTCCAGGGATACTTATTCCATCTACTACTGCCTTAGATCTTGACAACAAATAAAGATCTTGTTCTTACTAAGCACCCATTATAAGTGTATCTCTGTTGTAGATACAGTGTGGGATTTGTATGTTGTGTGCTGGATCTATACCCTGCCTAAAATTGTGGAAACAGTTTTTTTAAAAATAAGAATTTGTGAATGTATTGAGTATGTAGAAGGTGGAATTTGTATTTGGATTAGTGCTTTGTATAACCATTGAAAATGTATGTAAAATATCAAAAAGTGCCTGAAATAATTACCTTTTTAATCAAATATATTGGTTTGTGACTTCCATTGGGTGCTTAGTTCGCATATTGTTGAGAAGGTATCTGGTAACTGGGATCTGATTTGCAAGAAGATGCCTGTGAGGAAGATACTAAGCGGGAAATCTGCCCCAAGATGTGTCTTGTTGAAATAAAATAACTGAGGCTTTCCAAATGGATCTTGTTTTAAAGAGGCAGTTGTTTTGTGGTTAATGTATGGACTTACTATTCTTCTTAGTATTAATCATATGATTTATATTTTCCCTTTTCATTATTTAACCTATTCTGTACCTTACTATTTAGTCTTTAATAGTTCTGAAATACAGAAAGTGGTAATGGAGTCAAATATGTCAAATGCCTGAGGTATGTAGTAGAACTACACAAATGTAATTTTTTTCCTCCTTGATATATATAGTTATGTTTCTGAATTGTATGTATTTTAAAAGAGAAACTCAGAAGAGAACTTGATATATAACCATTTTGGTAGCTGCCTTATTCATAATTAGCAAATTAATTCTAAAATACCTTTAAAAAGTACTTAGGCTTCACTAGTGGACTTGTTATTTTTAAAAACTCTTAATATTAGACTCTAGGCATCTATTTTTTTATCCTTACAGCAAGGCTTTTTATTTATGTTTACTGTATATTTTATATATCTGGATAATTTTTAAAGGTGTTTTCGAATTTAGAGTGGCAGATGAGAAGTAACACTTCATAAGAGGTGACTAGGCTTTTGTTTTCCCCATTTGATCTGTGAAACACTTGTATGAAATATTTAGATGTTTTAAAAGTACATTAATAGTTAAAAAGTAATCTATTTTAATTAATTACCAGAATTGCATTATTTTAAATAAAATTGTTTATTTTGACCCTGATTATCATTTAGAATATTTGATGTAAAAGTTTACCATGATGGATAGAAGAGTGCTTCTCTTCCATTTTTTTTATTTCCAAAATGCTTAGTTTCATGATTTCCCCTTTAAAATCAAAGATGTAAGAAAAATAAATTTAAAGGCTTCTTGGCAAGAGGTTAGAGCCCTACCAAGAAGAAATAGGGTTAGATTTTCAAAGTACAGCCTTCGTATTTGCTCTTCCTGTTCTTTTGGTGGCTGAAGTGGCATTTCCGTTACTTTGTGTTCTGTCTCAGTGTGTTCCCTGTTAAACTGCTTTATACATTTCTCTAGAGAATTGAAATTCTTGTGTATATGGTCCTTTTAATGGAGAAACATTTCCGGGTAGTCAGATTTTACTAATGATGTTCCTTTAGAAGAGAATTCTGATGAACCTAAACTTTTGTATTAATATGTTCAGAGTTGTAATTTGCCAGGTTACCGGAATACAGTATTAAGGATTTTTCAAGTTATACTAGAATGTAGTGGCAGTACAGCAACGCATGTTCTTTGTATTTATGCATTGATTTTATGTTTATTTAACTAATATTTATTTGTGTTTACTTTGTGCTGGGCACCCACTGTACTAAATACTTTACTTTTATTAACTTTATTCCTTTCAACAACTTTGTGAGCAAGGTTTTATTATTCTCACTATTTTACTGAAGAACAAGCTAAGGCACTGAGAAGTTCAGTAATTTGCTCAAGGTCATAACCAGAAAGAGGAGAACTGGGATTTGAACTCAGGTAGTCTAGCATCAGGTTTGTGTTTTCATCTCATTGTGACGTTTTATGTAATGCTTTTCTGTTCCAAGGAATGAATAAACCATATATATTTATTCATGGCAGTGGTTCTTAAAAGTGTGTGGTCTTGGCACTTCTGGGAGTTCCTAAGACGCTTTCAGCTTATTTGTGAGGTCAAAACTATATTCATATAACTAAGACATTATTTGCCTTTTTCATTTTTGTTCTTTCACGAGTGTTCAGTAGAGTTTTTCAGGGGCTATGTGATGATGTATGATATTGCAACAAGATTGAATGTAATACCAGGTATGATAAGCCAACAGTTTTCTATTAAGCCAGATAGAAAGTTTTGCAAAAAGGTAAAACAATACCACTGTTCTAAATTTTACTTTTGGAAAATATAGTTACTTTTCATGAAAAATGTTAGGATGGAATGAGATTTATTATTTTAAAAAGAATTAATAGATGATTTTTAAATTCTCAATTTTAATTCCTAACACAGTAAATACCGATTGAGAAAACCCACATAAGCAAAATCTTATCAGGGTCCTCAATTTTTAAGATTGGAAGAGTTCTGAGACTAGAAAATGTAACCCTAAGGAGGGAGTGTATATTAGAGAGGAGAAAAGGATACTCAGGAAGTAGATTTAAGAGGTCCTTTAAACTCTGAGTAATTTGGTAGGTAATAGTGACCCAGCCTTTGGAGGACTTAGAGCAAAAGATGTGGCATAATCCTTTATGTCACATTGTTAAGTAGATTGGAAGGAAGTGCAGTGTGACTTGGAAAGGAGACTGCTGGGAGCAAAAAGACTTTTAACAGTAATACCTAATTCTTTTCCTGAAAGGCCTTAATAAAGTTCGTTATTAATTTGGACTCCTGACCCATTTTTCCTCACCCTTTTTTTTTTTTTTTTTTTTTTTAAACATCTTAGCTATTCCTTTTCAGCCAAGCACTTTAGTTACCAGTTGTGAAAATAAGTTCTTGACCCCCAGACTATTACCAGTTGCACATACCATTCTTTGGACACAAAATAGCTTCTTCTCTGTCAAAACAGATACCTCCCTTCTTTTAAATGTTGTAAAAACTAACTTGCTTTCCTTAACACTCACAGTTAAAGTAACCTCTTTTCCTAAAGACATTACTGAATAACTCCCCCTGATCCTGTCATTCCAACCTTATTATCACCATTTAAAGTTTATAATTTTATTTAAACTATAGTTAGTATCATGCTTTTATATGTTTTGGGTTCACCCATGTTTTCTCTGTAGAATAGGAACTGTACTTTTCTGTACTGTTGTATACTCTTCTCGAAGTACCTAATCAGTGACCCTGTGGATGCTCAGTAAATATTGGATGATTACACATTTCCCTTCACGGCTCAGGCTATTCCATGAACAATTTTGGGACACAGTATAGAGATCTATTCCAGTAAACATTGAATAATATTTTTATGGTGATTTTCTTAGTTGCAGTGAGTGGTAATTACTTGGTTTCAAAATTAAATGTAGGGGCGCCTGGGTGGCTCAGTTGTTAAGCATCTGCCTTCGGCTCAGGTCATGATCCCAGGATCCTGGGATGGAGTCCCGCATGGGGTTCCCTGCTTGGCGGGAAGCCTGCTTCTCCCTCTCCTCCCCCTGCTTGTGTTCCCTCTCTCGCTGTGCCTCTCTCTGTCAAATAAATAAAACCTTTTTTTTTAAAAAAAAAATTAAATGTAAAAGTTAATCGGTAACATTGATAAAAAATGTAAAAAATTGCTATGTGTTTCATGGAACCCAGGAGGCACTAAGAGGGTTAGTTTTCTTGAAACAGTAGGTGATATTTTAAAAATATTGTCCCAGAAAAAAAAAAAAATGGAGGTTGCATTTGTTCAATTTGAAAACTGTACTGAGGCATGTTTTTGAGGATATGTTCTTGAAAGTAGAAGTTAATTTAAAGAATTAAACAGGGGACCAGAAATAGATTTGAAATGTTTATCAGAGTTGCTTCCTCATACAACTCCAGAAGGTGGTGATCACATTGTAGTATATGTGCATGGGGCCTCCAGAGTACTAACTGTATGGCAGACTCATTTTAGATGTAAGGAAGGATAAAGTATACCTAATAATTTCAAAATGCAAAAGGAAAGAAATGATTGTTTTAGAATGAATCTTTATGAGATATGAGGCAACCGTTGGAGAGGAGTAGTGATGGTTGTGATAGTAGGACCACTAAATCTTGGCCATAAGTTGATTCTAGGGGCAAGTGGGGATTGCTGAAAGTTTTCTCTGAACACTTGGAATTCTAGCAGTAATTTCCAAAATGGTGCTGATATTTGTAGTCATAAACTTAATACTTGAAAGCATCCTAGGGGCTCTAATTTTATTCAAGGGACACTTCTTCCAAGTCGTGGTTGAAGCAGCTAGCACTGCTTTCCAAATTTCTTCTCTCACTAAAGATTATAGGCATACCACTGTACAAGTGACTTCATATTTCTACTTAATGTACATGTTTCTACTGGTTATAGATCTCTTCATTTGATAAGCACTGAACAAGGGTTGTGGTATGTGTATGTGATGTTAAAAATTTTATGTGTTGTAATAGAGTCAGTTATCTTGTGGATGCATAAATACGGATGCACTATATTTTAAATACATCTAATGTGTGAAAATTTTACTGTAATTCAAGTATATGCCAAAAATTTAGTAGCAGGATGGTATTCACATCATTCACGCAGGGTTGGCAAACCCCTCTTTTTTAAGAAAAAGATTTTATTTATTGATTTATTAGAGAGCAGGCACAGTGGGCGTGCACATGGACAGGGAGAGGAGCAGAAGGGGAGGGAGAGGAAGGGGAAAGAATCTCAAACAGACTCCAGGCATCCCACAACCCTGAGATCATGACCTGAGCTGAAACTGAAGAGTCAGATGCCTAATCCACTGAACCACCCAGGTGCCCCAGCAGACCTTTTTGATGTCCTGGAAACAGTTTGCAGAAATCTGATTCATGTAGGATACTGAATAATTTGAAATATTGTTTAATCCAAATCTAATGTGAGAAAGGGGGTTATGAGGCAAAGTGATTTTTTTTTTTTTGCAATTTTTACATTGAGAGGTAATTCTTCAACTTAAAATTCATTTTAAAGTATACAAATCAGTGGTTTTTAGTATATTCACAGTGTTGTGTGCAGCCATCACCACTATCTAATTCCAGAACATTTTCCATTGCCCTCAAAAGAAATCACATTATCTGTTAGCAATAGCTTCCATTTTTTTCCCCTACCCTCATTCTCTGGCAACCATTAATCTATTTTCTGTCTATGGATTTTCCTCTTCTGGACATTTCATGTTAATGGAATCATGCATATGTGGCCTTTTATGTCTGACATCTTTCCCTTAGCTTAATGTTTTCAAGGTTTATTTATGTTGTAGCATGTAACAGTACTTCATTCTTTTTCATAACCTAATAATATTCCCTTGTGTGGATATGCCACATTCTATTTATCCATTCATCCATTGATGGACCTTTTGGTTGGTTACCACTTGAAACCCATTAAGAATAATACTGCTATGAACATTTCCTGTATGAGTGTTTGTGTGAACATGTGTTTTTAGTTCTCTTGAGAATTGCTGGGTCATACAGTTAATTATATTAAACTTTTTGAGAAATGACCAGACTTTTTTCCACAGCCACTGCACCATTTTACATTCCCAACAGCAATGTATAAAAGTTTCAGTTTTTTTACATTTTGCCAGCCCTTGTTATTTTCAGGTTTTTAAAAATTAAAAAAAAATTTATATTGTACCCATTCTATAAATGGGTATTAAGTGATAATCATGTGATTTTGGTTTGCATTTCTCTAAGGACTAATGATGTTGAGCATCTTTTTATGTGCTTCTTGACCTTTGTATGTCTTTGAAAAAATGTCTCTTCAGATCGTTTGCTCATTTTTAAATTTGGTTCTTTATATATTTGAATACTAGAAGAGTTCTTTACATTTTCCAGATGCTTGATCTTCATATGATTTGCAAATCCTTTTTTCCCATCCTGTGGTTTATCTTTCCACTGTTTTTGATATTGCCCTTTGATGCACAAACATTTTTAAATTTGAACTTGCAATTTTTGTTTTTTTCTTTGATTGTGCTTTTGGTGTAATAGCTAAGAAACCTTTGGCTAATCTAAAATTATTCAGATTTATACCTAAACTACTCTTACAGAGTTTTATAGTTTTTAGCTCTTATGTTTAGGTTTGATCAATTTTGAGTTAATTTTTGTATATGGTGTGAGGAGGCAGGGTATGGTATTAAGAAAAATTAAGGATATTTTTTTTCCCTTCTTTTGAAGTTGTCACAGGGTGCAACTCTACTATGCCCCTGTGTAATGTGGATATAGAGATCAGTGAGGGAGGAAAAAAAGATTTCCTTGTTGGTACTGAGTTATATAGTTCATTGATAAATGGAAATATTTGAGTCAAACATTCTTTCAGCTGGATGGACCACTTAATCTAATCCAGCACACTTTTTTTTTTTTTTTTTTAAGGTTCTCAATATAGTGTTTTAAGTATGTGGAGAGATAATACTTAGTTGTGTGAGTATCAATAAGCAGTTACTTTTGTCTACACAAAATTGTGTGTTTCCATAGTATCTTGTACTTCCCTGTAAACACTCTGTTGTTTTAATTTATAGCTTCTATAGTTATAATTTTTTTCATAAACAACCCTTGCATGTCCGTGTCTTCTTTACTGTGCTACAAACAGCATATAGCAAGTATGCAGTAAAAAGATGCTGAATGAATAAAGGGGGAATGAAATTTTCATGGGGGGGAGGTTTCTAATGTGTTTTCAAACAATGTTTTAGGGTTTTTAAATAAAGGAAGAGGACAATTGCTGTAGAAATAATAGTCTTTGCTATGAGTAGTGGTTGTTTAAACTTCTTATCTTTCCATGATCAAGTAAATTCTTTATTGGTTGAAGATGTGAGGAATTACGGAAGTTGGGAAATAAACTTCCAGAGTTAGATTATGTAAAATTAGAGCAGTTTAACACAGTAAAATATTACTCATTGCAGGACCTACCTATAATTGGTATATTTAACTTCAAATAGATAAGTTCAAATTAATCAAATCTTGGGTTTTCTTCTTTCCTTTTCTTTCTTTCCATTACTATTATTATTTGCTTATGTGTGATTGTTAAAAGTGAATTCCAAGGCAGTCCTTGATTTTAAACTTTGTGTTATATGTGATAGTCCACGTCTGATAGCAGCATGCCATAGGGCCTTGTTTGCTAAGCGTTGTGTGCTTTGTTTTATAAAACATTAGCAAAACATTTAAAGTGCAAATAAAGATACCCAGAAATGAAGTATATGACTTTAATAAGCTATGCTGAATGAGCCAAGCAATGACCTTAATTGATTTTTTCCTACTCCCCCCTTCAACTATGCCCTTTCTTTCCTGGTTTTAGGATTCTGTGGTGAACTGTCTTTGAAAATCCAAATTAATTTTCTTTTGAAAGTGAAATGTAGGTAAATCTTAATTCATTTGTGAACCTAATGACCTAAGAGTTAATTATTTTGTGTGACTTTTTTTTTCTTGGAGAAGGTCTTAGTAGAAAAAAATTGTACGAGCAAATATGTATTTTTTAAATTTTGTGTTACTTTATTAAAATTCTCGAGGAGCTATGAAAATCTTTTGCTTGCTCTATGAGTAAGAATATGGGGCAAAGGTTTTGTTTGGGCCAAAAGATGGAGTTCTGTTTAACGTTGAGCAGTACCAACAAAAATTCTAGTCAGAAGCAGTTAGTGTGGGGTGCTGAGAGAAAGTGATCAAGATTGAGAAAAGAATGTAAAGGTGAATGACACTTGATTCTTACCTTAAAAGGAACATGAGATCTAATAGTGAAAATGTGTAAACAAATAATTGTAATACATCAAGATAAATGTATAATACTTTTTACATAACATACCAAAGTAGGGGCTGGATTAAGTAATTTTGAAGGTTAGTCACAGCTTCATAGAGGAGCTAACAGCTATTTTAAGGATGAATAGTTATTTGCCAGATGGGACAAAGGAGTTTCTTTTCAATAGGTTAGCACATGCAGTGACATAGAGGCAAGAAAGAGCATTATGATATGTTTGGGGGAAACTTTCAGTAGTTCTGTATTGTGGAATGCAAAGTGTTAATAAAAGAGGGAAATGAGGCTGGAGAGGGAGACATTAAAGGTTTTACAGGGGCAGAAGTTATCTTGATAGATCTTTAGCCCTCCTCCCCAAATCCTCATTTTAGAGTCCCTTTTCCTCCTGCTTATTAGCTGCTTTCCCTAGCTTTAGATGTCAGTGCTGTGGAACTGGGGAAGTGTTCTTTCCTTTTTCTAGGTAATTTGTGGTAGGATTATTGAAAGGGATAGGAAGAAAGAAATGCACAGTCCTGTTGACCACTTGTGCAAGGGTTTAAATGAGCTTGGCATGTGAAATTGGACTTCTGAATATTGTTATACATGGTGTTTGGGTTGCTAAATAAAATCAGCTACACTTATCTCATGGCTTTTGTGGGTTTGTGTGGAAATTGAGTTTTTTTGAGTTCCAAACTTATGAATGAACTTAAACAGAAAATGCGGTGATGGTCATTAGGAATACAAAAGATTTGATAAACCAGTTAAAGTTAGTAAGATTCTTGAGGGCATGTTTGATTTATGTGATTTAACTACTGATATCTGTTTATCTGCAAATGATACATTAATTATTAGTCATTCATAGGTTTTTTTTTTTAAGATTTATTTATTAGAGAGAGAGAGAGTGAGCGCACACAGGGAGAGGGAGAGAGAGAAGCAGAACCTCCCCGCTGAGCAGGGGAGCCTGATGAGGGGCGCCATCCCAGGACCCTGAGATCATGACCTGAGCTGAAGGCAGACGCTTAACCAACTGAGCCACCCAGGCAGCCCCGTCATTCATTGATTTTTAAAGCTGGATTTCTACCAAATAAGAGTTTATTAGTCTTGTGGAAATTAATGTACTCATTAGCAATTGCGTATTGAGTGTCTACTGTGTATCTGAGTTACTGTGTTGAGATTATTGAGAAATCCAAAAATGACATTTCTGATCATGTCCTCAGTCTAGTAGAGAAGATGACGTATACAGATAGTTGTATTATCAGGCAGTGTGAAATAAAGTTCATATCAAATGACATTGAAAATCACAGGAGAGAAAGATACTGCTTTTGATGCGGGGGAGAACTGGACCTTAAATTATACATAGTCAGGAACAGTAGGGCATTGGAAGTGGAGGAAACAGCTCCACATTAGCAGGTAGGAGGGCTAGAAGTGTGTTTGGGAACAAAGGAGTCTATTAATTGTAGAGGGTGAATGGGGTCCTTTGGGGCTTCAAGGGGGATAGGTTTGGGAGTAAGGAGAAGTACAGTGGGAGCAGTTGAAGCTAGATTGTGGATGGGGTATGGATTTTAATCATAAACTTTAGATATCCATGTAGCTTTTGACTCCTGTGGGTAAAGTTGGACCATAGCACTGATTTTCAAAATTATACTATATCTTTATTTTCTGTCTCTAGTGTTAAAATATGGAAGACAAGGAGTTTTGCTGATCTTGAAGGTGAAAATGAGATTTTGCTGCTTCATGCTTTTTATATTAGCTTTATTATTATAGACTGCATTAATAGTGGCAATATCTGAGGTTCTTGGAATTTCTGAGTCCATAGATTATGCAGCAATTATTGAAAAAGTCTTCTAAACAGAAATGATATATACCTAATTTTGATTTGGACATAGAGATTTTATGAAAATTTAAGGAGACTTTTCAGGCTTCGGTGTTCTACAAAATCTGATCAGATCAGTTTAATTAGGACATAACCTGCATTATAGGGATAAGAGCTAATAAGATTTATTTTTTTTTTAAGATTTATTTATTTATTAGAGAGAGAGAGCATGAGAGAGGGGAAGGGCAGAGGGAGACGCAGACTCCCCGCTAAGCAAGGAGCCCCATGTGGGACTCGATCCCGGGACTCCAGGATCATCACCTGAGCCAAAGGCAGTCGCTTAACCAACTGAGCCACCCAGGCGCCCCAAGAGCTAATAAGATTTAAAGAACCCTTTCTGTCTTGAACTATAACATAATCCTTCTAAAACCTATTGAATATATAGCTTATTTAAGCTGTATTGTACAAATACATAAATTGAGATTGCTAGTAAAAGGATATAGAGACTAAATTTTACCATTAAAATGCAATGAAGAACCTGAAGTAGAAGTCAGGCAGTTTTGTAGGGAATGGGATATTGTTGGGAGAAAGTCTTTCTTTCAGAAGTATAATTTCATAAATACGTAAAATTACAGTTGGAAACAGCAACTTCCTGTACTTCTTAGAGCAAATTATTAATATGCTTCAAGGGGAATAATCCCCGAACTGATATATGGGAGGCTGCCCCAGCTACATTTGACCTTAGGAACATCCCTTACTCAAATTTCTTATTTTCTAAATTGCCTCCCTGCTCTGCTGTCCTGTGATGTTATATATTTGTGTCCCTCCAGCTTTTGGGTTCTTGGCTTAGTACTTTGGAAACTAAGATTATGGAGAGTTTCTATATGAGCTTTTGCTTCATTTTCCATTGGAGTGTCCCACCTACCACTGTATTATCATTACTTGAAAAACAATTTGAACTTGCATATCTTACTGTCATTAGGAATGAGGGACTGCATTGTTTTATGTGGCTTTGTTTTAGGAGGAAATTGCCAAAAAAATGTGCCAGGATTATAAATTGATACCTGAAAAAGGGTGAGGATGGTAGTCACTTAACTAATGCCATAGACTGAATGATCTACACTGGCTAATGTCTTTTTTTTTTTTTTTTAATTTTATTTTATTATGTTATGCTAATCACCATACATTACATCATTAGTTTTTGATGTAGTGTTCCATGATTCATTGTTTGCGTATGACACCCAGTGCTCCATTCAATACGTGCCCTCTCTAATACCCATCACCAGGCTAATCCATCCCCCCCACACCCCTCCCCTCTAGAACCCTCAGTTTGTTTCTCAGAGTCCATAGTCTCTCATGGTTCATCTCCCCCTCTGATTTCCCCCCTTCATTTTTCCCTTCCTACTATCTTTTTTTAACATGTCATGTATTATTTGTTTCAGAGGTACAGGTCTGTGATTCATTAGTCTTACACAATTCACAGCACACCATAGCACGTACCCTCCCCAATGTCTATCACCCAGCCACCCCATCCCTCCCACCCCTACCACTCCAGCAACCCTCAGTTTCCTGAGATTAAGAATTTCTCATATCAGTGAGATCATATGATACATGTCTTTCTCTGATTGACTTATTTCGCTTAGCATAATACCCTCTAGTTCCATCCATGTCATTGCAAATGGCAAGATTTCGGTTTTTTTTTTTTTTTAATGGCTGCATAATATTCCGTTGTATATATATACCACATCTTCTTTTTTTTTTTTTTTTAAGATTTTATTTATTTATCTGAGAGAGAGCATGAGAGGGGGGAGGGTCAGAGGGAGAAGCAGACTCCCCGCTGAGCAGGGAGCCCGATGTGGGACTCTATCCTGGGACTCCAGAATCATGACCTGAGCCGAAGGCAGTTGCTTAACCAACTGAGCCACCCAAGCGCCCCTATACCACGTCTTTTTTATCCATTCATCTGTTCTTGGCTGTCTTTTTTTTTTTTTTAATATTTATTTATTTGTCATAGGGGGAGAGAGAGCACAAGCAGGGGGAGCAGCAGGCAGAGGGAGAAGCAGGCTTCTTGCTAAGCAGGGAGCCTGATGTGGGACTCTTTCCCAGAAACCTGGGATCATGACCTGAGCTGAAGGCAGACGCTTAACCCAGGCGTCCCATGGCTAATTAGTCTTGATGGCAGTTGGTCATAATGGGAGATCAGCTGTGGGTATATAATGGAGCATCACTAATCTCTCACCATATGCACATATGTATAGTAACATCATCTTAAAGTTATTTGGTTATGTGATGAATTTGTGAATTATTTCTCAAACCTTATTTTTATCCCTTAACTTCAGAGAACCATAGAAATCTAAGCATTATTGTTTCAAAGATTCTTAATTTATATGTTTGTTGGAAGGACTTTGTTTCTGAAGTGTATGTATACTGTATATATATTGTACATGGGGGTTGAATAGATCTACTTATTAAAACTAGAACTCTAGAATAGACCAAGGTTGCATCAGTTCTTCTGATTAGCTGCTTACTCATGTTTGGTCTCAACCTTTTTACTCACAGTACTTGTACATGTAGCTAGTTTTGAGTTGACTTTCAAATACTTGTCAAATACAGTGTGAGCTGTCTTTCTCTTTGGCTTTTTACCTTTTGTGTCTTGAAATTAAATAAGAAGCTTATTGGTGTAGTTTAGAATAATCTTTAGTTGTATTCAATTCATAATTATATGTAGGACACTTGTTTTAATAGTTGCTTGTACCTTTTCTAACTGCTAAGTTTGTCTGCAGATAGCATCTTTGGAAAGAGGGGTGCAATTTTGGAAAGGTGTAGCATTTATCTTAGGTGAGTAGCAAACAAAACCGATCTCACTAATTATGGCTATTAGCTTTATTTCAGGTGATCTGTCATGGGGGGAATTGGTCTAGTTTTGATTTTATAAGGCCAGTGTGAATATTTGTTGGTAAATACAAAATTGAGTCTGTTGCTCTGCAATTAAGTTGTTTTTAAAAACTGCATATTCAAGAGGGTTTTAGGATAGTTGCATTTGATCTTTTGGTATGAAACAGGAGAGATCTGGTTTGTTCTTTATATGATCACTTTTTCAGATCTGGAAGATGTAACCACATTATCCTTGTACCCATTTATACTTTGGAAGTAAAACTAGTTGTTTAAATGACTGAGAAATTAACATTTAGCTGGCAGTATTTGCTCCTGTATTTTTCTTTTCTCAGCATTAGCTTTTGTAACTTTTTTTGACAAACTATTTTGTATTAGTTATTAGGTTTAGAATTTGTGTTAGGTATTAATTCAGTATAAAATTTTAGACTTGGTACAGTATAAACATTCATTTATTTTTGCTCTTCATATTCTTGCAAAATATGTTTTGAATTGGTGACTTAGAGTGCACCAAGGCATTATTTGCAGATTTTTCACACATCCCGGAAACATCCCACAACACACCTGAGTGGCAGTAAAGAACACACTCACAGGTACTGAATTAAGAATTAGTTACAGAGTTGCAACTGACAGCTAAGTTAAGAGCTATTTATAGAGCCGCTCAGGAGGCTGAGACATTCCCTGACTAACTGTGGAAGGTGCTGTGCAGGGTGAAAACCGTTTATCACAAGATGGAAAACTTTTAAGCTGCTTCCTAACTTTGGGCTAGGAGTGCTTTTTTCTTTGAGTTTCTTCATCAGAGTTGTGTTTTTCTAACTTGGTGACCAACCTGTAGCTTTTTTTTTTTTTTTTTAAAGATTTTATTTATTTATTTGACAGAGAGACACAGTGAGAGACGGAACACAAGCAGGGGGAGTGGGAGAGGGAGAAGCAGGCTTCCTGCGGAGCAGGGAGCCCCCTGCGGGGCTCGATCCCAGGACCCTGGGATCATGACCTGAGCCAAAGGCAGATGCTTAATGACTGAGCCACCCAGGCGCCCCCCAACCTATAGCTTTTGAGGCCTTTTTTTTTTTTTTAAAGAATTGGAAATGATTACGTCTCTGGGTCAGGTGACTGAAAAACTGCTTTATGTGTTCCTTTAATGGTAAATCATAAAAGCCTTCCTCACCTGAAATCTGGTGTATTGACTTTGTTTTGTAACATTTTATTGGCTTTTTAAAGCTTGTGTGTAAATTAAAGCTTACAATTTCTGAGGCACTTGAAGATGGAGATGTCCAAAACTCTTGAAACGTGTTCCTTGTGAACTTGTTTTGAATGATATGCCTTCCTTATGCCTTGTGAACTTCAGCTGATTGTAGCCAGAGTGGAGATGATGCCAAGGAGCAGAAAATATTATGCCAAACAAGAAGTGGTTATCCCCTGTACTAGGAATTAGATTTGTGAGAGATAAGAAGAGAGATGCATGAATTTTAGAATAGAGAGGGCGATGACAAGACTCAGACTACTTGGAATGAAGAGAGAGAATTGAGAGAAAATATTTGTGTATCTTTATCCCTCTGGTGGAAAGGTGAGTGTTTTAAAGAATCTCGTTTCAGCACAGCCATTGTATTGTGTTACGTTAGATAGGCAAGTATTTAAATCTTTACAAGGGAGATAACAGAGCATCCCTTGCTTTGTCTGTCACAAGGCTATTGTAATAATCAGAAGACTAAGGATATGGAAGAACTTTGTAAAGTGCAAAGAGATCTGCATGTATAAAGATTTTGCCACATATTCATGTAACCATAGTTACACTTCCCAGTTGAAGAAATTGAGTTTTACAAACTTTCTAAAGATGGTAGTACAGAAGTCATTGAGTTTGAGGTGGTTTCATAATACTGTATTGGAAAAGTGATAAGGGAAAACTCATCAATAAAATAAGTAAAACTAACAAGATCAAATATTTGTAATACTGTCTTAAAGTTTATAAAATATTCTTAAGTATGTTCCTGTACTATTTTGATAATTATTCCTATTTTTAAAATGGAGATACTGAAACTGAGTGGCTAACTCACATGCCTTGAAGTTATAATGAAAGGTAGTCAGTCTGGAATTTGATTCTAGATCCTTTCCTCATTCTGATGTCACTTGATCCTGTTATCGTGTAGTCTTAGCATATGAAAATAGACATGGATGGCACCATTCAAAGAAATGGGAGAACCTAGAGCCGAACTTTAGTGATAGTGAGATTAGTGTCTTCATCATAACTGTTTGAAGCAGAGATTGGAAATATAGTACTTAGGATAGACTATCCAATGAGTGTAAGTCAGAAAAGAGCTCTAACAGGGAGAAATGGACTTTAAAAAAAAATAGAAAAAACTAAAAACAGACACACTTTTCCCCATCTGCCAATCTCATTCATTCTGGAAGGTATCCAGTGCAACAAAAAGTGTAGTTAATGGTCTCCAGTATTTGTCAAGTTTCCGGAGAGATCATACTTGGAAAGTAGTAGTTTCAAAGTAGTAGCCTCTTAGTGGGGTAGAAGGCCTGTTTGGGGAGCCTTTGTCATCATAGCAAAAGGAAAGTGGTGAAAGGTTGATATTCCAGAAAAGGGAGAAAGGTGGTTGAATTTTTCTTTGCTATTTGACTAGGCCATTTATTGCCTCCTCATAACAAACCAAGAGAAAGATATAGTATCTCAGAAATTTAAGGGACTTTTTATATATCCATCTACAGTTAGAATACATAGATTTAAAAAATATATGTGATATTATCTTTCACCTAAAAATAGATAGCTACTTGCATGAAAGCATCACCTAAGGCTTTTCTTAGTCTTTTATTATTATTATTGTTATCATTGGTACATAGAAGCAGAAGAACTAAATAAAAACCCATTGTAAGCATTCTGTACAATATTAAGTGTTAAATTCATTGTTTCTATATTCCCTAGCAGCAGAGGTCTGTTTATCCGAATACCTTGTATTGAGAAATATTTAAAGCGTATATTTAGGGGAGAATAAATCCATAATTAACTATGCAGTGTGCAGAATACGTTGTGATCATGTCAACTTTTAATAGAAGAGATAATCCTCAAAATATTTTGTCTTAAATTTTTGCTGTAATATACTTTGATGACTTTAAATAGATTTAATCAAATAATAACTTTATTTTGGAATTAAGATAAAACATACCAAACTTCTTCCTATAGTCATACATAGTTCTGAAAAAGGTTTTTTTAGATCAGCAAACAGTTTATGGCAAAAAGATTAAAGATTGAAACTAGTGGGAGTTTTTTTCCTTTAACATTATTGAGGCATAATTTACATGGAATTTTTAAGTTAAAAAAAGTAACATCTTCAGTCTTAATTCTGGCAGCTTATAAAGCAGATTTTTTTTTTTAAAGATTTTATTTATTTATTTGAGAGAGAGAATGAGAGAGAGAGCACATGAGAAGGGGGGAGGCTCAGAGGGAGAAGCAGACTCCCTGCCGAGCAGGGAGCCCGATGCGGGACTCGATCCAGGGACTCGATCCAGGGACTCCAGGATCATGACCTGAGCTGAAGGCAGTCGCTTAACCAACTGAGCCACCCAGGCGCCCAAGCAGATATTTTTTTTTAAAGATTTTTATTTATTTGACAGAGAGACAGCGAGGGAGGGAACATAGCAGGGGGAGTGGGAGAGGGAGAAGCAGGCTTCCTGCTGAGCAGGGAGGCTGATATGGGGCCCAGCCCCAGGCAGACGCTTAACGACTGAGCCACCCAGGCGCCCCTATAAAGCAGATTTTTATCTCGGAAGTTAGCCTTATAAAAAAGGCATTTGTCAGAAAATGAAATTATCAGGGTTTTTTTTTTTTTAGTGCTGAGAAATAAGCAAAAATGGGTTATAATAGCATTTTATAAGAACAGTTGTATAGTTATGAAATTTGTGAGGGTGGACATTTTTTTTGTTGAAACACTCCTAGTGATTATTCCTTTTTTTTTTTTTTTAAGATTTTATTTATTTATTTGAGACAGAGAGAATGAGAGAGAGAGAGAGTACATGAGAGGGGGGAGGGTCAGAGGGAGAAGCAGGCTCCCCGCCGAGCAGGGAGCCCGATGCGGGACTCGATCCAGGGACTCCAGGATCATGACCTGAGCCGAAGGCAGTCGCTTAACCAACTGAGCCACCCATGTGCCCATTCCTTCTTGTAGAAACTTAAAGGCTTAAGTTTAAAACTTTTTGGGAAAAATACTTCTACTTTATCTTATGGTGATTTATTAATAATTACTCATATTTTCCACTTATAGAGCATTATTTAAAAACTTAAAGCTGTATAGGTAGCTTATTATTTGGTGCTTATCTATTTCTGACTATATTTGTCATTACTGCTTACAACAGTTTGAAAAAAAAGTTTTTAGAAATGGCCTTCATATGTTAATGGTTTAGAGGGGTCTTTTGACACCTACTTGCCACAAGTGTGGGACTTAATGAATGGTAGCAAATGGCTGGTGTAATTTTGTTACCCCAAGGTCGCTTTTGTTCAGTTGTGAAGTGTGTGAATAAATAAATGAGATTCCCAGTCCCTACTTACTATCTACATGGAACTGGAGGCTTTGTAGAATCAACAAGAGAAGATTCTGTTCAATAAGACTTTGGTTTGGCAAGGGTGAAGCAGACGTGTGATGTGGAATTAATAGGATACCTCCATACTTCCCCACTCTCTGGAAAATGGTAGTTGATCATGGTAGTTAATTCTATAGGCCTCCAGGCCACCGGTGACACACTACCATTGTTACTGTAATTTTCAAGTCTCTTTATCCAAAGACTCCTGATTATCCTGTATAATTAGCAACCTCCCCAAAAATATGTCCCATCCTTCTTAAGTGCTAAGAAATCCTTAGCACTTATCACCATCTGCCATATATTTGTTCATTTGTTTACTGATTGTTTCTCCCCACCAGTATGTAAGCTTCCTGATGGCAGCAGTTTTGTCATCTGTTGCCTTTTTCTAAGTCCTAAGCCTATTTGGCATATTGTAGTATATGATGAATATTATAGAATATACGGAATTTCTACTTGTTCATACTAAGGTTTACAAGGCTGTAGGAAGATGGATCATAAAGATTCTATTGCTCTAATTGCATCTGGGACATGAACTTGTGTTTTCTGGATGCGGTAGACTATGGCAGAAAGTCTAACTGCAATTCATTTTTCACTCTGATTAGGCAGAATTTAAACTGTTAAGAAAAGCCATGAAAATCTTTTGGGTTCCTACTTACTTACTTATGTTTTAGACATAGGCTGACAGTATCACTTAGCCATGAGGAGGACTTTTTGCCTATTATTTTCCCTCTACCCCCACCTATCTTTTGAGTGGAGAGATGGGCTTTTGTTTCACCTATAAATCTATAAATATGTATAGCATCATGTCACACATTGTGGAAGATAGAAGAAAACAAAAGATAACTGAATTTATTTTAACAGAGTGAAGAATGAGTCTTGATTGCTTAAAACAGAAAAGGGACACTCAGGGTACAGTTGAGATTATATTCCTGATATTTTTGGATATAGAGGTGAAAATTTCTAGTATCTCGAACTTCCCAGAAGACCTTAGGCTGATTTTCAGAGAAGAAATTTGAGAATCATTTGCCTAGGGGTTTTTGTTCAAGTTAAAAGATTATTTTCTCAGGGTGAAAAAAAACAGAATCAGAGATTATTAATGTTAGGAAAATGCCCACAGGTTGGGGGATGAGAGGACAAAATGAATAGAATGGAAGCTTGTTTGTGTTTTAGGAAGGCTGAGGAAGAGCTAGAATACAGCACCACAGAAAGAAGAATGCAAATATGCCAGGAGTATGTGGTGGTAGTATATTAATTCCTTAGTTACATGTAGACTTTTATTAGGTCTCTTATAACTAGGGTGACATAGAATTTATATTCCAAACTGGGTCACTTTTGAGAGTGAAAAGGTGTGCTATCTGAATGGGACACTGGGACAACAGTTGTAAACCAGAACTGTTTCAGGAAAACCAGGACAGTTGATCACCTCCTATTAATAACATACTTTTCTCCAGACTTAGTCCCAGTTCTTGGACCCCAGATAAATTTTTTTCCTATATAGTACTCTGAACTGCATTTGAGGAACTTCTTAAGCTTTGATTCTTGTTTCTTGGTCTTCTTGGAATGAAGGAATTCTTTTCATTTTTTCCTGCTCCCCCGGACTGTTTGGTGGAGGTAAGTACAGTACTTACGATGAGTTGTTTGTTGACTTTTTATTTTGCTTAGAAAATTGTTTTGTGCATTTTTGGTCCAGTATTAGATTATTTTTAAGAATCCTGGTTTTATCTCCTTAACTGGGCTGATGAAGTATTAGTAAGTTCTTAGAATGTAATACAAAAAGAGTGAATTTGTGATTTTGGCATTTACTCTTAAATTACTTGATACTTACATGTTTCCTTTCCTACAGGTGGGATGGTAATTCTGAAACTTCAGATCTTCAAAGAAGGGAATGAAAACACCTTGTGTTTATATCGTGGATGTATTGTTTTTTTATGTTGGATCACTGTAATGCTTTCATTTTGTTTTCCTATAAATAAATCTTTTTTTATTCTTATATCAAGTGATGTTTTTTTATTCTGTTAAGTAATTATATTTTCTGGTAAATTAAAAATTAATAGAAGTAATAGTTGCCTTTGGGGTAGTACTTACTAAAATATGATTTACCTTACCTCTAAGATCCTTATTTGGAATCTGGGATGGGACTAGAGTGTCAAGGTTTGGAAATCATCACTTTGGAATACTAGAATGGAATCCTAAACAGTCTCAAAATTAAGGAGACAAACCTGAATCCCTCTATTCTTGCTACAGTCCTATTGTTTTGCTGTACAGTCTGCCATCTAGTGGTAGGAATGCAGAATACACCAGAACGCCAAGGAGAAGCTGTAAGTTTTCACTTTTTTATTATTAAGAAAACTTACATAGCAGGCTAAAACATTCTGATAATGAGGGAAAAAAAAGAATGACTGTTTCACTTGAAAATATAAATCAGTAGTAGTGAATTGAGAGTATTCAAAGAGTATGTGTTTTTTTGTAGAGTATTTATATGACTTAAACTTTATTCTGCTCTTGTAAGATTTATGTATATGTAACAGATTTGTTGAAGAGGCAAATGCATAAATAATGATAGATGATTTTAAGAGACAGATTGGACTGATTTAAAAAAGATACTTGTATATTGATTAAAATTTTAGAGCAACTACGTAACGATTCCATTAACTAAAATGATTTATTTTGCATTTTTAAAATTAAAGTACAGACAATTCAGGAAACTTGGCTTGTGTTCAGCTATGACCTAAGAGGCTAAATTTCAGCTGTGTATTAACATGGTAGCTTAGGGTTAGCTTTGTTTACCTAGCTCCATCTGAATTGTTTTCTTAGGTAGTCCCTCTTTAGTTCCACTTCTTTCCTCTCCTACAGATACAGAGGAGGTCAATCCTTTCTTTTTTGTTACTTTCTAAAGTGTTCTGAAAGCACCCAACACTTGACACTTACATGATCTATCCTACATATACTGCAGACTTAGGAATACTTCCTAAATCTATGTTAAAGTTTTTTTGGTTTTTTGTTTTGTTTTGTTTTGTTTTTGACAGAGAGAGAGCAGGTACAAGCAGGAAGCAGCAGGGAGAGGGAGAAGCAGACTCCCACTGAGCAAGGAGCCCAGTGCAGGACTCGATCCTGGGACCCTGGGATCATGACCTGAGCTGAAGGCAGCTGCTTAACCGACTGAGCCACCCAGGCACCCTATGTTAAATTTTTTATTCCTCTTTTTAAAAACTGATTTCTTTGGGTAGTCTCCATAAGCAAATGAAATTAGCACTGAGGGGAGGTCTTTTTGGGTTAATGTGTCTTCAAAAAAAGCTTTGTTTAAAATAAATAGGGATAGCCAGATAATGAGAGAATTTTTAATGGCTTGCTTATAGGAACTTTTCTGTTGAATAGTTTTTAAGGGAAGAAAACCTCTTGTTTTACATGGCGATTAAAAAAATCAGTCAAAAGGAAAGAAAAACTGGGGCACCTGGCTGGCCCAGTCAAAAAAGCATATGACTTTTTTTTTAAATTTAATTTTATTATGTTAGCCGCCATTCATTACATCATTAGTTTTTGATGTAGTGTTCCATATAACACCCAGTGCCCCATTCAGTACTTGCCCTCCTTAATACCCATCACCGGGTAACCCATCCCCCCACCCCCCTCCCCTCTGAAACCCTCAGTTTGTTTCTCAGAGTCCATAGTAGCATGTGACTCTTGATCTTTTGATCTAGGTGTCATGAGTTTGAGCCCCACCATGGGTGTAGAGATTACTTGAATAAATCTAACTTAAAAAAAAAGGGAAAGAAAAACTTACTATGGTATAAACAGGTTAAATATAGTATGTGCTATTACCAAAGTGTTATCTTTATATTTCTTAGTTTTCACATGTATGAATCTTTTGTTCGTTCATTTTGCAGAGAACCCAGTGACAGAAATAGCGTATCTACTTGTGTTAACAGATCGGTTTTTCCTGCAGCTGCAACTTATTTTTTTAGTAAGATGGGCCTTTGCCTTTTTTTTTTTTTTTTTAAAGATTTTATTTATTTGACAGAGAAAGAGAGAGCACAAGCAGGGGGAGTGGCAGGCAGAGGGAGAGGGAGAAGCAGTCTCCCCGCAGAGCAGGGAGCCCGATGTGGGACTTGATCCCAGGACCCCGGGATCATGACCTGAGCTGAAGGCAGTTGCTTAACCAACTGAGCCACCCAGGCGCCCTGCCTTACTTTCTTTGTGGTTTTTGGAGGTAACTTAAGGTTCATCTACCATGGTGAGAGATTGAACTTATATTCACAGTATTGGCCTACCTCTGGAACAGTGGGTACCAGATTTTCAGCTGTTCCACCATGTAGCTCTTGTGCGTGTACCACCTCTTCCTCACATGCTTGAAGAAATAAAAGAACACATCATGGCTGTCCTTTCTGCCACTGATCATGGTATTCCCCAAAGGATCTGGAATGTCCTTGTATATTGTGACTTAGCTCCTTTAGCTTCTTAGTATTTTTATCAAAGCCATTTGGATATCTTTATTTCTTTTTAATACTTTGAAATGCACCCTTCTCTCTTTTCAAATTAATTCATCTTTGTAATTCTTTTCCCCAGTCCTTGTTACTTGTACCAAGCATTCTATGGTATGTGAGTCTTTCCCCAGTTTTTACCTTCATACCCAATTAAAAAGTTAGTATAGGATTGGTATTTGCTGTGTGACATGAAATGTGCTTATTGAGATTTGTAAAATTATGGAAATAATAGTGGTATAGGTCTTTTACATATTGATTTCGGCTACCTGTTCATATATAATTTAGTTGCTGGATAATTTTGAAAGCGGTCAGTTCTTTTTGCATCAGCCTATTGAGGACATCAGTATATATCAGGAAATATTATACATCTACAGTTTTTAAAAATGGAATCTTACTCTGTAATGTTCTTTAACATGGCTTTGATTTAATGTACCCTGAGCATTTTCCCGTCAGCCTTTTTTGCCCTGTTTGTTGGCCTCGTAGTATTTCATTGTAAGACTGCTGTCTTTACCATTATTGAACATGTCCTCTCACGTTGTCACTTAGCTCCTTTAGTTTCATTGTACTTTTATCAAAGCCATTTGGATATATTTATTTCTTTTTAATACTTTGAAATGCACCTCTCTCTTTTCAAATTAATTCAATTCTTATTACTTGTACTGAACATTCTGTAGTGTGTAAGTCTTTTCCCAGTTTTTACTTTCACATCCAATTAATAAGTTGGTTAGACTTATTTCTTAAGGTATAAGCCGGTCTATGAAGACCATATTTCTGAATTAATTCTAAGGGGAATTATGTAAAAGTATTAATGTTGTGTTTCACATGGGGGACCCCGCAAACTATAAAGTTAAAGTGGTAACATTTACCTCTTAATTCAGACTATACTTTGTGACCCCTTACACAAAAAAATGAGTGGAGAAGTAATATTTAAGATTGTTCAGTCCATTTCCCAGACATTTGACACTTATGATAAGGGCAAATGTGCCTCTTTTTATAAAATTCTTTTGCCGTAAGTCTGATTTCAACTTGTGTGTTTTATAAATACTTTCAAATTTATTCCAAATGAGAAAAATATTGCTGATACTTTTAAAAAAGCAAAAGTTCAGAAACTTCTTGTCCTCTCGTGTTTCTTGACTACTGTTTTTGTTGCTGTTTCTTGGAATAGTTGTTCTTACCATTTGTACTCCTACCCAGGAAAGATTTCAAAGATCTGATCAGTGAAGCAACATTTGATGATCCACTTAATTTGCCTTCCAAATTTAGTGTATCTCTAATTTTCTAGATGATTGAAGAAATGAGTCCTTTCAGTGAAATTGTGTCTTTCATAAGCTCACAGTAGACATCATACAAGAGTATAAAGCTCAAATCCTTTCTTCTAAGACCAGGAACAAGACAAGGATGCAACTTCTGTGCCACTTCTATTCAACATGGTACTGCAAATCTTACCCAGAGCAACTAGGCAAGGAAAAGAAATAAAAGGCATCCACATTGGAAAGAAGTAAAACTGTCACTGTTTGTGGATGACATAATATATAGAAGACCCTAAAGACTTCATTAAAAAACTGTTAACTAAAAAACGAAGTCAGTATAGTTGTAAGATAAAAAAATCAACACACAAAAATCTGTTGCATTTCTGTGTACTGATAATTATCAGGAAAATAAAACAATCCCGTTTATAGTTGCATTAAAAAGAAAATTCCTAGGAATAAACTTAACAAAGGAGGTGAAATACCTGTATATTGAAATCCACAGCACTTAATAAAAGAAATTGAAGAAGACACAAATATAAAGGTACCCTGTGCTCATGGATTGGAAGAATTAATGTCGTTAAAATATCCATACTATCCAAAGCAATCTACAGATGCAGTGCAATTTCTACCAAAATTCCAATGGGATTTTTTCAAAGAAATAGAACAAATAATTCTAAAATTTACAAAAACAACCAGACACACACACAAAACAGTCTTGAGAAAGAACAAAACTAGAGGCATTACACACCCTTCTTCAATTTAAACTATATTACAAAGCTACTGTAATTAAAACAGTATGGTATTATCATAAAAGTAGGGATACAGATCAATGGAACAGAATAGAGAACCCATGAATAAACCTGTGCATATATGGTCAATTAATTTATGACAAATGAGCCAAAAATATACACCCGGGAAAGGATAGTCTCTTCAGCAAATGGTTCTGGGACAACTGGGCAGCCACATGCAAAATAATGAAACTCAACCACTGTTACACCATATAAAAAATGAACTCAAAATGGATTAAAGAATGTAAGACCTGAAGCCATAAAACTCCTAGAAGAAAACATAGATGGTAAACTCCCTGACATAGGTTTTGGTGATGATTTTTTGCATATGGGCTGGTGAGGCGAGCACAGTGATGATTTTTTTGAAATCATTTTGAAGCAACAAAAGCAAAACTAAGTGGGATTGCATCATACTAAAAGGCTTCTGCACAGCAAATGAAACCAACAAAATGAAAAGGCACCCTACCGAATGGGAGAAAATATTTGCAGATCATACATCTGATAAGAGGTTAATACTTAAAATATATAAAGAACACATACAATTCAATAGCAAAAACCAAACAGTTCAATTAAAAAATGATGAACTGAATAGACTTTTTTTTTTTAAAGAAAACATAGAGCCAACAGGAATGTAAAAAGATGTTCAACATTGTTAATCATCAGGGAAATGCAAATCAAAACCACAGTGAGATATCACCTCACGCCTGTTGAAGTGGCCATTATCAAACAGACAGATACCAAATGGAGAAGGGGGAATGCTTGTGCACTGTTGATGGGAATGTAAATTGGTATACCTACTTGGAAAACAGTATGGAGGTTCATCAAATTGAAAGTAGAACTACTTACTGTATGATCCAGCAGTTCCACTTCTGGGTAACTTGAAAAGATATATACACCCTCGTGTTCATTGTCGTAGTATGTGCAATTGCCAGGATATGGAAGCATCCTAAGTGTCCACTGATGGATGAATGCATAAAGAAATTGTGGTATGTTTGCACAGTGGAATATTATTCAGCCACAAAAAAGAATGAAATCTTGCCATTTGCAACAACATGGATGGATCTCCAAGGCATTATACTAAGTGAAATAAGTCAGAGAAAGACAAATACCATGTTACCTCTTACGTGAGGATATTAAGAAAAGCTGATAGATACAGGGGACAGATTGGTGGTTGGGGAATGAGGGTGGGAGAAATGGGTGAAGGGGTTTATTGGTAAAAATGCAATTGATATAAAACAAATTTGGAATCATTTAAAATATTTATGTTTATATATTAATATATGTGACATAGGTGTATTATATGTAATAAAAGCACTGAAAAAGAATAGTATTTAATTAGTATTTGTTGAGACTTTCTTAATATATAGTTCCAACAGCATTAACTAATCCTCAGAACAGTCTTATGATGTAGACACATGCACACCAAAAAAAGTATATTTCATCGTGATCCTTTTGAAAGAGATAGTGTAGGGGTGCCTAGGTGGCTCAGCTGGTTAAGCGACTGCCTTCGGCTCAGATCATGATCCGGGCGTTCTGGGGTCGAGTCCCGCATCTGGCTCCTTGCTCAGCAGGGAGCCTGCTTCTCCCTCTCCCTCTACCTGCTACTCCGCCTGCTTATGCTCTCTCTCTCTCTCTGTCAAATAAATAAATAAATAAATAAATAAATAAAATTCAAAAAAAAAAAAAAGATAGTATAGCATTTGGCCAAATGATTATGATACATTGTGGGGGTTTTGTTTTTGTTTTTACTAATACTGTTTTTAGCCAAGTTTATTTATTAGAAAATCTACTTGGGTATCAGCATAGTTTTGATATATGTAGTCCAGTGAATGCCTGAATAGTTGGGAACTTGACACCCTCAGCATTCTGCTAATGGTGCATGCCTGACTTGCTGTGAAAGTGAACCCTAAGTGGCTTAAGTTTCTAAAATTGGTGAACTCTGCCTTGGGAAATGAATCCATCTGGTGATTGGTTACTACTAAATTTTTGATATTTTGCTGGACATTTTCCCCTGGAAAAAATTCTATTTTGCATTTTTGTTTTAAATTGATTAGAGATTTAGGACTTGCACTAAATTGGCTAATTGGGTATTCACTTGGTATATATGTTTCCAAGCACCCTTACCTTTTACAAAAATTTAATTCTGTTCATGAATCTGTCGCTACTATAGTAGTGAGTTTCTGTGACCTGACCTTTCGGAAAGTCTAATTTGTGTTAATACAGGTAATGTCTACTTTATCTACCTCAGACATTGTTGGAGGGGCATATTAGATAATAAAAGTGAGAGTATTTTGTTTGTATAGTAGGGATTGGTTCCTTCCACTGTCTCTGGAAAGATGCTCTTAGGTTTCTGTTGTAGGCCTATTTTCTTCCTCCCTTTAAGTACTAGAATCCTCATAAATTCTCATGTATACCTAACGCAAAGAGCCTATATCCCATGTAGTAATTTTTTTTAGTGTGGGGTTTAGGAATTATTAATAATGTAATATCAAGAAGGTATTTCAGTTTTTATATTAAGGTAAATAACTAAAAGAAAATATAAGATGTGTTTCCATTTAGAACCCTTTTGATTGCTAAGGGAAATTTAATATCAAGTTTGTGGTTTTTAAGAATTCTTCTGAATTGAGAATGGGAAAAGCAGTAGCTATCAAGATTCCCATGATATGTGTGATTCTTGTTTGGAATGATTGGAGGTGGGATAACATTTTCCTTCCTCAGTTGTTGGAACTCAGACTTGGAAGCGTTTTCAAGCTATTGTAGTAGAGACATTGTGCAGAGGAAAAATTACTGCCTAGAGAACTGCTTGAGTTAAAATACTATAAGGGAAGTATATTCTGTAGAGTCGGTGTAACTATTCAGTGTTTCTTCTCCCAGGAATATTTGTATAACTTTGGTTTTGTATTTGGTCTACTGTGGATTCATAATCTCAACATGAATTTTTTTTTTTTTTTTTTAAAGATTTTACTTATTTGACAGAGACACAGCGAGAGAGGGAACACAAGCAGGGGGAGTGGGAGAGGGAGAAGCAGGCTTCCCGCAGAGCAGGGAGCCCAATGCAGGGCTCCATCCCAGGACCCTGGGATCATGACCTGAGCCGAAGGCAGACGCTTAACGACTGAGCCACCCAGGCGCCCCTCGGCATGAATTCTTATTTCTTCTTCCTGTTTAATGTGAAGTGCTGTATTTTAGTTTCTGGAGTTACCTTCAGTTTTTATGTGATCGTTTCTAAAGTATACTGTAGTTTTCATAAGCATTGTAATAAAAACCTTTATTTGTTAGATCCTCTCCAACCTGAAATTTGAAAATTTTCACATGTAATGGGCTCAGGTTTGTTTTTTATTCCTTTGGCAATAGCAGATTGTGCAAATAGTCATAGATTGTTGGTTTTAGTCTATGTAAAAAATACCATTTTGGATGCTTATTTAAAAAGTCATTCTAGGACTGTCCATATGCTTATTTAAATGAATGTATTTATTAAAAAAGTATGAGTGACCACTGTATACAAGGCACTATTCTGGGCCTTTGGGGATACAGTAGAGAACAAAACATAGCCTTACCCACATGGAACTTACATTTTAATTGAGAGAGAAAAATATTAAATGGATTAAGATGAGTTAGGTGGTAAATGCTCTGCAGACAAAGTGAGAAAGGATGGATAGTGAGGGTTTGGAGGTAGAGAAGTGCCCTGAGGCTTTGTTATATTGTATAATTATTTGGAAGAGTTCATCTGATAAGGTGACATTTGAGCAAAGATCTGTAAGAATAAAGTGTGGGAGCAAAAAGTGTAGATATCTAGGAGAAGAGTGTTCTGGGCAGAAGGAACAACAAGTGCTAAGCACCTGAGGTAAGAGTTCTTGGTCTGTGGGAGGCATTGCAAAGGAGACATCCGTGTAACTGAAGCAAAGTGATGCAGAGAGAGTTGATCACAAAGGGTTTATAGCATTGGTTTATAGCATTAGAATATATATATTCTAATATTATATATAAAATCCTGTAGTTGAAACTACAATCTATACCTTTTGCTTCATTTAAGATCTGACTTAAATCTTAAGTCAGATTTCTGACTAATCGAGCAGTTTATTACCAACTTTGTGATGAAGAGTATGGAAATTGCTAACAAAAATGTTTGCAGTCTCCTTTTAAGGTCTCTCAAACTAGTTAGAAGGTAATGATTTGGAAATAAATACAGTGTAGGATAATTCTATTATGTAGAATTATGTGCTAGCTTTAGTGACTGGGGCGTACCTTGGTATGTGAAGGGAAGACAATTCATTTTGAAGAATGAGCAAGAATGTAAAGATGCAGGGGTGAAACAGCAAGGTACGTCACAGAAAACTGGAAAGTGGTTTTGTATTGGAAGCTAAGATTTGAGATGGGAGAATATGACAAGGAGGAAGTGTATGCCATCCTGTAAGGAGTAGGGATGTCATTGAGGTTAAGCAGTGAAAGTGTTGTGTTGTAGATCATTCTGTGGTCAGTTTAGAGAAGGGGGGTGTGAGGTGGGTGAGACCCCAAATCAGGTATCATCAGGTAAGAAGCAGTCAGTCCATCATTTCTTTGTGGGGACAGTTTTGGGTGGAGCAGGTTTGTTTGTTTTTATTCATTTATTAATTTAAAGTAGGCTCTATGTCCAATGTGAGGCTTGAACTCATGACCCTGAGATCAAGAATCACATGCTCATTCAACTGAGCCAGCCAGGCGCCCCAGTGGGTGGAACAGTTTTAAAATGTGAAGTGCCGATGGTGCACTTTGCAGGACAATTTATCTTCCTCATCCTTGGTATTAAATGCCAGTAAAATCTCTGTGTTAATCTCCCTCCCCAATTTCTGAATACTTCCAGGAGAGGTGGCACCCCCTAGTTAAGAAATAGAATTTAGGAGCACCTGAGTGTCTCAGTCAGGTAAGCGGCTGCCTTCAACTCAGGGTCCTGGGATTGATCCCATGTCCTGTTCTCTGACCAGCGGGAAGCCTCCTTCTCCCTCACCCTCCACCTGCTTATGCTCTCTCTCTCAAATAAAATCTTATAAAAAATTAAAAAAAAAGAAATAGAATTTAAACTCCGGCTTTGACAATGATAGTGGGATGGAGAGGAACAGGTAGAATTGCTGGAGATTTAGGAGACTTGGTTACTGATGGGCTCTAGGGAGTATATATGAACACAGAGAGGTAGGAGCACCTGTGGAGTAGTACTGTGACAAGAAATTTTATGACAGGTTCAGTTTTGAAAACTAAAAAAAATACGATTCTGAGGAGTGTGGACTTGATGCCATCAAGAGGAAGTAACTTTAAGAATTGAATAGCTTATCAAAACAATTTCTGGAAGGATATAGAAAAATGTAGATATATCAAGATAAATAGAAAAAAACTAAGAATATAACATAATTGAGTTCAGAACTTGACCAGTGTGTTTGAAGTTTTAAAGGATTCAAAAGGAGCAAGACAGATAAGCCTTGCCCTCAGACTACTTTTTGAGGGGCAGAGAGAAAGCTTAGCTTTGGGAATAAGGTGTACATAATATATTTAGTGCTGTAGGACAGATATGAAGTACTATTTAAGAAGAATCAGAGAAGGCAGAGATCAAGTTCTTTTTATTATCAGAAACTGAACCATACACACCAAATTGAAAGTACTATTTAATTTTTGTTGCAAGTATGAATTGTGAAAGCCTTGTATTATTCTCCTGTTCCAAGGGTACTCTGACCGTGTTGTGCTTTGTTCTTTAAGCATTGTTGGCTAGGGTAACTGCTTATCTAAAATTCATTTGTTTATTCAATGTTACTTTGTATAATAATTGAGCCTATTAGAACAAACATTTTTGAAAGATTGTAAGCAGATAAATGGTCATGGTTGCATTGGTGTTTCTTGTGATCAAGGCCAAGTTTGGTCACTTGAATTTTTACTTAATCATTATGCGCTGAAGATTAAAAGTAGGCAAACTGCTTATGAGTCATGAATAACTTTAATTTCTTTCCCTTATGGTAGTTATAGCTGAGATATTTATACATTTTTATACATTAAAAGTAAAACAACTCATTTCTTGGTCTTCCTCTCTGTTCTCTAAATTGGATTGTATCTTGTATTTTCTTCATTGAATTTGACATCTCTTAAGTAGATAGGAGGTAAAACTGAGGTCTGTTAAGAGCTGCTCCCTCCCACTCCCCCCAGTTTTGGTGCTGAAACAATTATATGTTAGACCATTTTGTAGTAATGCTCTCCCGCTTAAAATATAAAATTGGAACTTACATTGTTTTAACTGTTTTCAGAGTTCCTGGATCATTTCTTACTTGAAAATTTATGCAACAAGAAACTTCAGTTTGTTTCCTGTTTTGTTTGTTAGTTTTAGCTAGTTGATACCAACTGATAACTGAACTCAGTAAAACTGAAGGGAGAGAAGAATGAAAATTTATATAAACAGATCCTACCCACTCTCAGACCACATGTTTTGCTCTGTTTTCTTAATAGTGCAAACACAGCATTCTAGGGAGAATATTAATAAAGGTAGTTTGACTTTCAGCTTATTCATGCTTCTATATGTATGATTTTTTTTAAGGTTTTTTTTTTTTTTTGGAATGGTAGGGATGAATAATCCTAGCACTGTAGTTCTGAAGGTTTATGAGTAATAAGAGAATTGAAAGTTCTTTAAGGCTTTGAAATAGTTCCTTTTGAGATAAAATACTTGAGGGTGAATTACTCTCAGAGGAAGTTTACTTTCTGTTATTGATCCTTTATGTGATCCTAATCAATATCCTATTAACTTCTCAGGTGGATTATAGTGGTCTCAGTTGTTCTCCTAAGAGATTTTTAATAACTTCTCCAAATTATCTATTGTTGCTCCACTGTTAGATTTTTCACTTGTCAGTGTGCGCATCTGAAATTAATAATAAAGCCAGAGAGTAAATCTGTTTTTTTTTTAATTGCAGACTTAATTCAGTGCACAAATGAGATGAATGTGAATATCCCACAGTTGGCAGACAGTTTATTTGAAAGAACTACTAACAGTAGTTGGGTGGTGGTCTTCAAATCTCTCATTACAACTCATCATTTGATGGTGTATGGAAATGAGGTAAGCCAAATTTTTAATTAACAAGCATATTGCTGTGGTGACTGATGATTCAGCTTGATTCTCCTACTGAAATTTCAGGAATGGCTTCAAAAACCAAATAATACAGGTTAAAAGGGTAAAGTGACTAGGTAGAAATAAAATTGTAGATTCTACAATTTGAGGAGATCGTCTGTAAGTTGGGAAGCAGAAAGTGGGTCAAAGCACAGAAGACTTATAATGGATCAAGAAGCAGAGATTAATGCCTAGAGGTAGGTTCTGTAAGCAGCACTGGTCTTTGTAGACCTTGTGTATAGACCGTATGTTTGTCTTTTGCTTTATTATGGCTCAGATTTCTATCTGATATCATATAGTTGTCTCTGGAACCACTTTGCTTAGTTGAAAGCTGTTATATTGAGGACTAAGATGGCATTTGCTGAGAGGGACTGATTAAAGAGTGCCTTCTTAAGCAGAGGTGTGTCTGAAGTCCTTGAAGTCTTCATTGCCCAGAAGGTTAACAAAAAGATGCTTTTTGCAAAAGCTTTAAGCTTTTGCATTTTAGTGTTTGGAGAGAATCTTCTTGTTTTCCATGATAGCCTAGCCAGCTGATTTTTAGTTCTTACCTTAAATGATTTTCTCAGCCCAGTATACTTACTTGCAAAGTTGAGTTAGAAGGAACATTTAAAATTGTGTTAGAATATTTGAATGCAACTAGATAAATCTACATTTAGTATGCACCTTAGAAAAATGCAGCCCACTGGTTGCTGAGAGATGGCTTCTGGAGAAATGGGAAGGGACTTTAATTAATGGTATTAGACTTCTGAGCATAATGACTTTCTGACATCCATCACTACTCATTTTGGGCTTTTCTGCTATACCAATAGAGAGCATCATTGAAATTCAGAATTCAAGCAAGAATTTACCTATAACTCTTTCATTGCAGCAGATCTTACTGTATGTACATTTTGGTGTTCCCTTCTGGTCCTTGTCTAGGAGTGATTTTTTTATAGCTACAATCATAATTTAGATAAAATATTATATTTAGCTTTTTTATATACCATCACACCATAAGCTTTTCCATATTCTATATTTTTTATATTTATCATTTATTTATTTATTTTTTTATTCTTATATTTATCATTTTTAATGATAACCTATTGGGTTATATAATCCATAATATTAACTTTCCCTTTCCTGGGGCGCCTGGGTGGCTCAGTTGGTTAAGTGACTGTCTTCAGCTCAGGTCGTGATCCTGGAGTCTTGGGATCAAGTCCCGCATCGGGCTCCCTGCTCGGCGGGGAGTCTGCTTCTCCCTCTGACCTTCCCCCATCTTGTGCTCTCTCTCACTCTCTCTCTGAAATATATAAATAAAATATTAAAAAAATATTTTTAACTTTCCCTTTCCTAGAAATTTAGCTTTCTGATTATTCATTGTTAGAGCAGCACCACATTGGATGATTTTATTGGTGGTATTTAAGTTGTTTTTGTTTTTTTTTTTAAGATTTTTATTTATTTATTTGACAGAGACACAGCGAGAGAGGGGAACCCAAGCAGGGGGAGCGGGAGAGGGAGAAGCAGGCTTCCCGCCAAGCAGGGAGCCCGATGCGGGGCTTGATCCCAGGACCCTGGGATCATGACCTGAGCCAAAGGCAGACGCTTAACGACTGAGCCACCCAGGTTCCCCAGTAGTATTTAAGTTTTAAAAGTTATTTCCAGAAGTGTTACCTGAAATATGATTGCTTAGTTAACAGACTTGATCATTTTTAGGACAAATGTTATTCAGTTGCTTTCTAATTTATTGTAGCCAGTGTACAGAGTTAATAGAAATATTTGGGTATTAGCTTTACTATAACTTGAAGCATTTTGATCTTAACTAGGGTAATAGTTTATGCTTTTATTGGGACTATGTTTACTTAAGATCATGATCATTCTGAAGAATTTCAGGTTTATGGTATTTTTCACCTTTTTAAAAAATACATATATAGTTTATTCTTTTTTTTTTTTTAAGATTTTTATTTACTTATTTGAGAGAGAGAGACAGAGAGAGAGCATGGCGGTGGGGGGATCAGAGGAAGAAGCAGACTCCCTGCTGAGCAGGGAGCCTGTTGTGGGGACTCCATCCCAGGACTTCAGGATCATGACCTGAGCTGAAGGCAGTCGCTTAACCAACTGAGCCACCCAGGCGCCCCTAGTTTATTCTTTAAAAAGAAAAACCACAAATATGACCAATTAGAATGCTAGATAAAGAGGAAAACTGTTAGTGGTGGCTTTTAGAGACTGTAAATAAGATGATAATACTAGAGGCAAAACTTTGACAAAGGCAAAGAAACAAAGTTGACTATCATTCCTTACTGACAGGAGGAGAAAGATGATAGCATTTCTGTGTGGTTTTTAGATAAACCCATGTTCATTTACCTTAAGCTAAGACAAATGTGATGTTCTTCTCATTGGCAGGTTTATTAGTCTGTAAGAAAGTATGCATATGATTTTACTATGCTGTGGTGATGAGAATACCATAGGGCAGGGAGGAAAGTGATCCCCTGTCCTGCCCCTGCCAGGAGACATTTGTCAAAAATGATGGGGATGCTCTTGGCACACCTAGGTAGAGGCCAGGGATGCTTCTGAACATATAATAATGCATAGGACAACCTTCCCACAATAAAGAATTACAACAGCTTATGAAAATCATGGAGTCTAATACTGTCTTAGGATTTTTTAAAAGATTTTATTTACTTGAGGGGCAGAGGGAGAAGCAGACTCCCAGCTGAGCAGGGAGCCCTGTTTGGGGCTCGATCCCAGGCCCCTGGGATCATGACCTGAGCTGAAGGCAGACGCTTAACTAACTGGCCACCCAGGCACCTCTTGTCTTAGGATATTTTAATACCTTTTTGAAACAAGTCATTTTAGGATAAGTGATGAAATGTGAGTCTTCAGTTTACAAATTGTTTTTCTTTTTTTTTTTTTTTTTTTTTTTTATTTTTATATTTTTTAAAGATTTTATTTATTTATTTGAGAGAGAGAGAATGAGAGAGAGCACATGAGAGGGGGGAGGGTCAGAGGGAGAAGCAGACTCCCTGCTGAGCAGAGAGCCCGATGCGGGACTCGATCCAGGGACTCCAGGATCATGACCTGAGCCGAAGGCAGTCGCTTAACCAACTGAGCCACCCAGGCGCCCCTACAAATTGTTTTTCAAAATCCTGGCTTGTTAGTTTGGGGTGAATGCAGATGAACAAGATTGAGTTAAGGGAGTGATGGTGTATACCCTAATTGATAGTAACCCTCTGCATACGTTAAAAAAAAAAAAAAAAGGAAATCCTAAGGAGAAGTGAAATTGAAAGGAATTAGCTCTCTATTTTAGAGGGTGTATATAAAGGGAAATGAAGGTAGTGTTCTATGGTAAGCACTTTGGAGAGAATTTTGACGGTATTTTGAGATGACCTTTACATAGATGCTGATCCAACAATTCTACCCTGTTTATATCATGATAAACTTCTGTATGTTTGCACCTGGATACCTAGTACAAAGATGCCTATGAAACATTGTTAATGATAGTGAAATTGGAAAGAACTTAAACATCCATAAAGAAATGGATACATAATGATATAGTAGGTCATTGAAATATTAGAACATCATTTTAAATGAATGAACTAGATTTACATATATTAAAGGGATAATTCTTGGGGAAAAGTTGTTAAAAAGCATATTGGAAAAGAAGCACAGTATGATTTTTCTGTAAATTGAAAATAGAAAACAAAATTTGTACAGTTTATAGGTTAAATATATGGAAAAATAGTAAAAATATGTGTGGGAATGATACCTACTTCAGAAAAGTGATTGACTTTGAAGAGGGAAGGAAATGAGATGGAAGGTGTGTTTCAATAGACTCTTTAATGTTTTGTTTCTGTAAGAAGATTAAAGTAAATATGGCAGTGTGTTTAATCTGGACAGGGGTAAGGGGATATCTATATTATTCTCTTGTATGATTACAAGTATTTCATTTTTAAAAATGTCATAAAAATTTGGGTCACCAGGTAGCTG